GCTGTAAGCCATCTTGCGGGTGCAAGGAGCCGAGTCTGAGTCCTCTGGAAGAGCAGCATCCTTAATGGCTGAGCCATCTCTCCGTCCTGGGCATGGAACCTAGGGTGTTGCACATACCAGGCAAACACCCTTACTATTGAAGTGGATTCTAGGCGAGCACTGGGCCCTGCCCCATGGGTGTTTTATTCCTAATGACTTTTTTTCCCTCTGAGACAGGGTTTCTCTGTATTGTTTTGGAGGCTGTCCTGGAACTCGTTCTGTAGACCAGGCTGGCCTCGAACTCACTGGGCCTGCCTCTGCCTCCTGAGTGCTGGGATCAAAGGCGTGCGCCACCACCGTCTGGCTCCTAATGACCTTTTGTGTAAGATGGAAAAGTTGGGGTCTGGAGAAGTTTTAACATGTTTTGAGACAAGGTCACACATAGCCTTAGCTGGCCTGGACCTTGATATATAGCTAAAACGGGTCTTTAGTGCCTGATTCTCTTGCCTCCAGCTCCCAAGTGCTGGGATTATGGCCATACGCAGAGAGCCTATGGGAATTTGGAAGCAGAATCAGAGCTCGAATCCTTCTCTTGTCTCTCGCCTCTTAGGCTTGTGTCCCAGCACTGGCTGCCACCTTGGTGTTTTTTTTGGCATCTGACTGAGTCCCCACCCCCATCCCAGCTTTAACATCTCCCTGGGACTCTGTAACTGCCACTGGGATCAATTCCAAATGCTGCCAGTTGCTCAGGCCAGAAACCCTGCCGTTGCCCTAGACACCCCTGCTTTCCCCGCACCCAAAGCCAAGCTGTCAGCGCAAACCCTTGCCGCTGGGTCTTAAGGTTACAAATGTCCCTTCTCCTCACTTCCTTCACAGCTCAAGGTCCTTAGTACTGTTCCCCACAGGCACTCCGGGAGTCCTTTTCAGGTGACTGCTTCCACACTGACCCTCCCATCCCAGGCTGCGGCCAGACTCATCTTTTTCTTTTTGTTGCCCTTTTTTTTTTTTTTTTTTTTTTGCGATCAGGTCTCTGGAAGCCCAGGCTGACCTTGAACTTGCTGCATAGCAGAGTATGATCTCCTGACCCCCTGGCCCTGCCGGATAAATGCTGGGACCACAGCTTGTGGCACCGTACCTAGGTTTTTCCTTTCTTTCTTTCTTTCTTTTTTTCCTTTACTTTTCATGAGTATGTGTATGTGTCCGTGTGAGCTGATGTATTCAGATGCCCTGGAACTGAAGTGGCAGGCATTTGTGGGTGCTGGGAACCAAACACAGGTCCTCTGCAAGAGCAGTGAGTGCTCTTAATCGCCAAGTCATCTCTCCAGCCCTTTTCACTTTACTGCCTGGTATCCCATTGTGTACTTGCCGTGTCATTTCATGTGTGGATGGACACCACCCCTGATCTTGGCTGCTGTGAATCATGAGGTGGGGGTACCGGCATCTCGTTGGTGTGCTGTCTGTGGCTGCACTTCCTGCCTTGCGTTTGTGGAGGAAGGAGCTGTGGAGAAACTGAGGCACAGGGAACAAGGAGGACACGCCCCAAGCAGAATAGCAGCAGAGTGGGGCTTTTTTGTTTGTTTGAGACAGGGTGTCACGTAGCCCAGGCTGGTCTGGAATTCACTGTGTAGCTGAAGATGACCTTGAATTTCTGGTCCTCCTGCCTCTGCCTCCAAAATGCTGGGATTGCAGACAAAAGTCACCATGCCTGGTGTATTGCTGAGGGGTTTTGTTTGTTTGCTTGTTTTTCATCTTGACACAAGCTAGCATCATCCAGGAGGAGGAAATCTCAATTGAGGAATAGTCTCCATCCTATTGACCCGTGGGCAAGCCTGTGGGGACATTTTCCTTAATTAATGATTGATGTGAGAGGGCCTAGCTCACTCTTTGGCAGGTGCCCACCCTGGGCAAGCAGTCCTGGCCTTTATAAGAAAGCAGGCCGAGCAAAGGAGTCGGCATGTTTCTCCATGGCCTCTACTTTGATCTTGTCTCCAGGTTCCTGCACTGCCTTCCCTCAGTGATGGGCAGTGTAACCCGTGCTCTGTAAGCTAATGAACCCTTTCCTCCTTAGGGTACTTTTGGTCAAAGTGTTTAGCACTGCAACAGAAAGCAAAGGAGGACATCAGGTTTCTACAGTGCTTGGGATCGAACCCGTGCCTCTGGGCATGCTAGGCAAGCACGCTACCCACTGACACCTCCCCCCAACACCATCTCCCTCCTTTTCTTTTTCTTTCTGCAATGCTAAGGATTGAACCTAGGATCTCTGGTGTATCAGGCAAGGCTAGAAGTAGCCTTTGCTCTTGCTGGCTGCAGGGGTGCCGGTGTCACTGGGTCTGGCCCTGTCCCCTCAGTCTCCTCTCTCCTTGGTGGACCTCCCTGTCTCCCTGGCAAGGACCCATGGACGGACGGTTAGTTAATGCTGTCATCTTTGGTGACAGCTTTCGGAAGTTGGTGCTCTCCTTCCACCTTGTTGCTGGAACTGCGCGTGCGTGCGTGTGTGTGTGTGTGTGTGTGTGTGTGTGTACTGCGGTGCCTAGCATTTATGTACATGCTGGGGATCCACCTCTGGTCCCTGTACTTGCATAGCGATGATTTTATCTACTGGCCTGTCTATCCAGTCCCCATGTTAGTTATCTTTGACTCATCTCGTCCATTCATCCCCCTCCCACCCTTCCGATCTGTTTTTCCTTCCATCTACCCACCCACACATCAATCCATTCATTCTAGTCTCTCCATCCATCTTCCAGTTTCTCTTTTCCACACACTATCCTGCTCATTCATCTCTATTATGTATTCTACCACCTATCAGTTATGTATCTCCCTTGGCTAGTTCATATATCTACCATGTATTTTACCACCCATCAATCAACCTATCCCATCAATCATCTATCTATCCTCCTCGCTATCATCTATCATCTAATCTTCCACGTATTAATATCTGTGAAGTCTATTATCTACCATCTGTGTAATTTATACAGTATATACTCAATTACCTATCTCCATGTCATTTCTCTTTCTCTAGGCTGGACCTCACCCTGTAAAGAGAAGCTTTTTCTTTGAGAGGAGCCTTCCCACCAGCCTGGTTCTAGAGCCACATCAGTCCCAAATAAACACACAGGAGGCTATATTCATTATGAAGCTGTTGGCCTTGCTTGTTTCTTACTGGCTAGCTTGACTTAAGTAATTACCCCATAATTGTTAATCTAAGTATGTCTCTTACCGGAGAATAGTTCCGGGCTTCCTACCTCATGGCGTTACGTGTCGACTCTCTTCTGTTTCTCCTTCCCAGAATCCTCCTGGACTCCTAGTCCCACCTATCTAGATTCCTATTGGCTCAACAGTGCTTTATTGACAAAGGACTTCCCCAACATCACCCCAGAACCCCAGCCCTCACTTTAGTCTTTGTGACTCCACCTGGAAGTCCACTGGATACCGCAGACCTCCCCACGTCTCCATCGCCGGGTCTTGGGTCTCTGCCCCACCCTCCAGGTTCCTCTTATCGCACTAAAGTGGAAGTTTCCGGATTTAACAACAACAAAACTTGAGAACCAGTTTTCAATCTTCTAATTCTCTCCCTCCCAACATGAAAGCCCTCAGCAGACTCTGTCATTGCTGCTTTCGGAATACATGATTTCTAACCGCCCTTCGCCACCTCGGCGGCAGCCACCTGCGTAAAAGCCACCGTCACTTCTCATTGGAACGCTCTCTCTTTTTGAGACAGGGTTTCTCTGTGTTGCCGTGGCTGTCCTAGAACTCGCTCTGTAGACCAGGTTGGTCTAGAACTCAGAGATCCACCAGCCACTGCCTCCTGAGTGCTGGCATTAAAGACATGTGCCACCACAGCCAGGCTTGGAATTATTTTGTAGTCCTCTGCTTAACATTGTTTCATCGAGGTGAAGTTTACACACCATAAAATTGACCACCCCCCCCATTGAGTAGTACTCCAGTGTGTAAATGTACCACATTTTCTCTATTCACTTTTCAGTTGAAGGGCATCTAGGTTGCTTCCAGGTTCTGGCTATTACAAATAATGCTGCTATGAACATAGTGGAACAGATGTCCTTATATGAATGCACATATTTTGGGTATATGCCTAAGAGTGCTGGATCTTGTGGTAGACTGAGTCCCATTTTCCTGAGGAATCATCTCCAAAGTGGCTATACAAGTTGGCACTCCCACCAGCAGTGGAGGAGTGTTCCCCTTTCTCCACATCCTCTCCAGCATAAACTGTTATTGATGTTTTTGATTTTAGCCATTCTGATGGGAGTGAGATGGTATCTCAGAGTTGTTTTGATTTGCATTTCCCTAATGGCTAGGGATGTTGAGGACTTTCTTAAGTGTCTCTCAGTCATTTTAGACTCCTCTATTGAGAATTTTCTACTTAGTTCTGTACCCTACTTTTTAATTGGATCCTTTGGTGTTTTGGAGACTTGCTTCTTGAGTTCTTTGTAAACTTTGGAGATCAGCCCTCTGTCAGATGTGGGGTTAGTGAATATCTTTTAGCAGGCAAATGGAAGGCACTAGAAGAAATCATCGTAAGTGAGGTAACCTAGTCACAAAAACACAAACACGTTATGTACTCACTCATATATGGATATAAGACATGAAGCGGGGGAGTGCCAGCCTACAATCCCACCTCCAGAGAGTCTTGGAAACAGGGAGGACCCTAAGAGAGATATGCATGGTACCCTGGAGAAGGGGAATGGGACAGGATCTCTTGAGTGGACTGGGAGAATGGGGGGAGGGGACAGGGAGCTAGGGGAAAGAGAAGGGGAGAGGAGGATATGGGGGAGCAGGAAGGTTGAGTTGGGGGAAGAATAGAGGAGAGCAGGATGAGAGATATCATAATAGAGGGAGTCATTATAGGTTTGAGGAGAGAGCTGACACTAGTGAGATCTCCAGAGGTCTACAAGGATGACACCAACTGACAATCTAAGCAATAGTGCAGGGGCTACCTTAAATGCCATTCCCCGATAATGAGATTGATAACTACCTTGTATGCCATCCTAGAGCCTTCATCCAGTGGCTGATGGAAGCAGAGGCAGACACCCACAGCTAAACACTGAACTGAACTCCTGGAACCAGCTGCAGAGAGGGAGGATATATGAGCAAAGGGGTCATGAGCGGGCTGGAGAAACCCACAGAAACAGCTGACCTGAGCAAGGGGGGAGCTGGTGGACCCCAGGTTGATGGCTGAGAGACCAGCATGGGTCTGATCCAGACCCCCTGAACGTGGGTGTCAGTGAGGAGGCCTTGGCAATTTTTAGGGTCTCAGGTACTAGATCAGTATTTATCCTTGTCATCTGAATGGACTTTGGAGCCCATTCCACATGGAGGGATGCTCTCTCAGACTGGACACATAGGGGAGGGCCTAGGCCCTGCCCTGGATGACATGACAGACTTTGGAGATCTCCCATGAAGGTCCTCACTCTTCCTGAAGAGTGGAGTGGTAACTGGGTGGGTGGGTGGGGTTGAGGGAACTGGTAGGGGGGGTGGGGGAGGAGGGGAGGGAGACGGAGCTGGGATAGACATGTGAAGCAAGCTTGTTTCTAATTTAAAGAAAAAATTAGCCATCTTGAAGTGTGTGAACCAGAAGCATCAGAACACATTTTACAATGCTGTTCAGTTACCACCACCTTCACGAAACGCTAAGTCATTTTTCCCTACTTTCCCTGCAGTATCCGGCACCAAGAATCCGCTTATTCTCTCTATGGATTTGCCCGCTCTGGACATTTCATCTAATTGGCTCATAGACCATCTGACCTTTAGTGTGTCACATCACGCATATACCATCATGTCTTCAAGAACCATCCATGTTTATGGCTGAATAATATTCCATTGTGAAGATATACCACATTTTGTTCACCTGATCATCCTTGGATGCACATTCAGGCTGTTTACATAGCATGGCTGCAATACATAACGCTGCTGTGACCATTCCTGTCGATGTTTGTCCGTTTGTTTTCCGTTTTCTTGAGAGCGATCCTGGGAGTACAGCTGTTGGGTTATATGGTTATTCCATTTGTAACACTTTTGTGTTTGTGTGTGCGGAAAGGACACAAACGTGTGCACATGCAGACATGTTGTGCGACAAAACTTTTCCTGGGGAGATGGAACACGCACAGCTGCTTGCCCTAGATGTGGAACCCACGGCAGGTCAAAGTATAGATAGATACTACCAAAGTCCAACTTGGCGAACCAGCGAGCTTTATTGGGGTTGCTGCATCACCAAAGCTCACCCCAGCATGGTGACAGCTCACACAAGCTGGGAACCTGGAGCACACTGCACAGCCTGCAGGCCGATCAACAGGCTGTAGAGAGTCTTTTCCAAGTGACTTTGGTCTATACCTCTTCCAAACAACTTGGTTGGTTTTTGCTTCTTCCAGGCATCTGCTCTGGTGTCAGAGTCTTCTTTACAGCTTTCTCTACCACTGAGCCACGCCCCCAGCCCCTCACTGAGGGATTCTAGGCAGGGGCTCTACCACTGACTCTCTTACTTTGGATTTGTGTACTTATTGTGCAGGTATAGTATATGTGTGTGTGTGTGTGTGTGTGTGTGTTTGTGTGTGTGTAGACCAGAAGTGGATGTTGGGTACCTTCCTTCGTGTCTCCACACCGTATTTTTTGAGAACAGGATTTCTCCTTGAACCAGGAGCTCACTGACTGGCTTGATATCCTTCTGTATTTGCCTTGTCAGGACTAGGGTAACATTTGCTGTGGCTGTAGCAATGTACCCTGAGACACACACATATACACACATTTAAAAACCAATAAAGAGCTGGGTGGTGGTGGCACATGCCTTTAATCCCAGCACTCGGGAGGCAGAGACAGGTGGATCTCTGTGAGTTCAAGACCAGCCTAGTCTATAGAGAGAGTTCCAGGACAGCCTCCAAAACCACAGAGAAACTGTGTCTTGAAAAACCAAAAAACAAACAAACAAAAAAAACAAACCAAAACCAAAAAACCCCAAAGACATAATTAATAACCCCCAAAACTAAACAAACTACTGGAGCCTGAGGTGATGGCAAGTGCCTTTAATCCCAGCACTCAGCAGGCAGAGGTAGGAGGACCTCTGAGAGCTTTCAAAGATAGCCTGATATATATAGTGAAATTTAGGCTAGTGAGTGAGACTCTGTCTCAAACAACACCAGAAAAGGACAAGAAAAAAACCAAAACAAAACAAAAAGCAAAAAACAAAACTCTTAGAGCAGCGGCCGTTCTTACAGAGGATCTGGGGTTCAGTTTCGAGCACCAGCGATTTGTAACTACAGTTCGAGGGCATCTGATGCCCCCTTCCGACCTCCGCAGGCACCAGCCACACACGCGGTGCAAAGACGTACACGCAGGCGTAAAACTCATACACGTAAAATAAATAAATCTTAAAAATATGCAAAACTTAAAAGCAGTGCTTACTTTGTTGCGCTGTTTGAGAATTAATGAAGCCGACGCCACGCCGGGCGGGGCGCGGTGGTAGACCTCCTGGAGTCCCAGGACCGGGGAGGTGGAGGCAGGACGGTCAGGAGTCCAAGGGTGTTGGGGAGATCAGCTTGGGCTGCTTGAGTTTCTGCCTCACAAACACCAGACTCACGCACTAACAAAGCACTCAAGCACTAGCAAAGCGATCAGGATAGGCTTAGGCATACACTGAGCGCTGGAAAAAAAATCTAGATTTGTCCTTAAGAGTTGAGAACATCTTTGGAGGTTTCGGACTTGGAGAACAGGATCTTCCCCCGCGCGTGCACGACACTCGGTTCCGCCTCGCCCTTCCGTGTGGGCGCGGCCTGCCCTGACACGGGGCGGGGGAGAAAGGGGGCGCGGTAGGCGGAGTCAAGATGTTACTTCCGGGATCCTCCCTCCGCCCACTCCAGGGCCCACCCTTTTTCTGTGATTGGCAGGATGCCTAGCCAATAATCATCAGAGAGACGACCGACGCCGGGGAGGTCTCCCCGCCCGCTTAGGAACGCTTCTCCCCAGTAGACTAATAGCAAGCTCGGGGAGGCTGGCTCTCCAGCGGGGGCGGGACAGAGTGACGGGCGTCACTTTTGACCTATGGAAATACGGCTGCGGCTGAGGTCGAGCCAATCAGAAGTGAGAAGGCCGGATCTGGGGCGGAGCTGAAACTTCGGCGGTTGAACCGCTCGGTGAAGCGGGGAGTCGGTGGAGAAGGTGAGCGGCGGGTTCCCGGCTCCGGGTGCGGGCGCCAGGCGTGGGCAGGGGGACCCCCACCCCCCCGGATCGCCGCGTCCACGCGGGTGCGCGCCAGGCCCTGGGCAGGCTGGGGATTTCACAGGGTCTTCAGGGCGCCGTGCTGCCCCCACGCGCGACGCGCGGTTAGAACATCGAGGTCCCTCGTCGAATACTGCACCCTGGTTTGTGAGGCCGAGCATTGTTTTGCGTGCACTGCACCGCGCGGGGTGGGCGAGGGGGTGGGGGTCCCCCTGCGAAGCCGTGGGTTCTGAACCTGACTCGGGTTGGAGGGTGGGAGCTTTCCGGGGCTGAGGGGTGTGTCCCCTGGATGAGTGACTTGCCCAGTGTGCAGGCTCTGTGCAAGGGATGTTACTTTTTTTTTTTTTTTTTTGTGGTGCTCGATGTCAAACCCAGCCTTGTGCATGTTAGTCAAGAGTTATCCCAGTACTGCTGAGCTACATCCGTGCCCAAGAATAAACTTTTTTTTGTTTTGTTTTGTTTGCTGAGACAGGGTCTCACTATGTAGCTCTGGATGGCCCGGAGTCCGATATAGATCAGGCAGACCTCGAATGAATAGGAATTATTGTGTGTGTCCTCAAGTGTGTGTTTGTGGGGGGGGGCGATTCCTACCGTAAGATGGGTGTGGAGGTCTGAGGAGAACTTTGGAGCCCTTCTCCCCCTCCGCCTTAGACCCTGGGCCCTAGGGGTCAGACTCAGCTCTCAAGGTTTGCACAGCGCGGAGTTTTACCCGTTGAATCATCGGGACAGCCCCGAATGAACTCGGAAATATTTTTTGTTTTAAAAATTATTTATTTATTTTTATTTTCTGTGCACTGGTGTTTTGCCTGCATATAAGTCTGTGTGAGGACAGTGAATCCTAGAGTTACAGACACTTGTAAGCTGCCCTGTGGGTGCTGGGAATTGAACCCGGGTTCTCTGGAAGAGCAGTCAGTGCTCTTAACCACTGAGCCATGTCTCCAGCCCCAGAAAACATCTTAAACTATATAGTGGCCCACACTTGTAATCCCAGCACTAGAGATACTGAGGCCAGCCTGGGTTACAGAGTGAGTTTGTCTCAAAAACCAAAGCAAACCAAACCACCAACCAACCAACCGACCCAAACAAAAAACCCCAAACAAAGCTCAACAAAACAAGAAGAGAGTGTGGTGCTGGCATGTGTTTGCCCAGGTTGGAGTTCTGGTTCTGCCCTTGTTTACTGAAATCACTAGACTTTGGGTCACTTGTTTAATCCTTTTGGGCTCACACTTTTATGCCACTCCCCCCACCCAGTTTACCCAGCAGTGACTCCCCAGATGTTTCTTTCCAGTATCCTGCTCTGCCCCGAACACCATGCTGTCTCCAAAGGCCAGCCCTTCTTTGCTTGAAAGTCAAGCTGATGTGCAGTTACCCCCAAATAATCCTTTGGTGTCCCCACTCATCACGGCAGACCCTTCCTTCCTTTCAGGTACTTAGGAGTTAGTTGTCCACCGTTCCTTCCTTTCCCTCCCATTAAACACACACACACGCACACGCACACACGCACACACTCTGGAAAGTAAATCTCATCCAGGACTGATGTTGGTGGTACATGCCTGTTATAATCCTAGCACAGATGGGCGTTGGTGGTGCACACCTTTAATCCCAGCACTCGGGAGGCAGAGGCAGATGGATCTCTGTGAGTTCAAAGCCAGCCTGGTCTACAGAAGGAGTTCCAAGACAGGCTCCAAAGCAATACAGAGAAACCCTGTCTCGAAAACTCAAAACCAACCAGCCAACCAAACAAACAAAAAAAAAACCTAGCACACTAGAATCTAAAACAGGAAGATTGTGAGTTCAAAGCCAGCCTGGGCTACATGGTGAGATCCTATCTCAAAAAAAAAAATGAGGTTGATGATGGATGCTTGCCTGGTTTGTGTGAATCCCTGGGTTTGATCCCCAGATCTGGATGGGCCAGGCGTGGTGATGAGCCCCTGCAGTCCCAGAACTTGGGAGATGGAGGCGGGAGGACCCGGAGTTCAGGGGGAGCCTGGGTTGCATGAGACAACTCTGCAAGCAAGCAGAAAGTCAGATCATGTTCCTGTTAACCCCTTCCTGTCTGCTGCTCACCCTTCCCCAGGCCCCACCTGCTCCCACGATCCCCAGATAGTTCAGAGCTTTGTCCCCCTCCCTCTCCCCCTCCAGTCACTACCTTGCTTGAGCTATTGGGGCCATGAGGTCTCGGTGTCCTTTGGACATAGCAAATACATGCTTTGTCCTGCTGTCTCCCCTTCCATCCGCATGGGCTTCCCTCAGATGTCTGAGTGACGGCCCCTCTCCTCCCTTCAGGTCTCAGTTCAGACAGGAGCATCATTAACCCTTCTGGCTGCCAGTCTTGTCACCTGATTTTCCTTGTCTCTGTTATCTGTAGACAGAGGCTCTGTCCCACCTGGTCCCACAGCCGGTTAGCCCCAAATAAACACACAGAGACTCACATTATTTATAAACTGTTTGGCCCGATGACTCAGGCTTCTTACTGGCTAGCTCTCTCTTAATGATTAACCCATTACTATTAATCTATGTATTTCTGCACGGCCTTGTCTTACCAGAGAACGCCTGGTGCATCCTATCTTCCTGGTAGCTACATGGTATCTCCCTCAAGGCTTCTCTCTGCCTTCCCTCTCCCCAGAATTCTCCTCGTCTGGTAGCTCCGCCTATACTTCCTGCCTGGTTACTGGCCAATCAGTGTTTTATTCATCGACCCATAAGAGATCTGCCACTAGTGTTGGGCTCTGTGTAGCTCCATTGTGTTCCTGAAGAGCACATAGGTGTGGAAATAGTTACCATGCTAGAATTAACTACCCTTCCTCTGGTTTCCCCATGGTGGAAGGTGGGCTGGGGGGCTGGGAGGGTCTCCTTCCTGGCAGTGGAGTCGGGTGCAGCGAGCTGAGACTGGAGAGTGACATGAATGACCTTGAATGTCTCTCCATTGCCAAGGCATTGTTCTTTGGTGTCCCCTGAGAGATCAGCAAGCAGATTTATGCCAGGCCAAGGTACTGAAGGGACATTAAGAAGGACAATTAGAAAAGTTTGCTTTTATTTATCTGTATTGCTAGGGAATTGTATGAGATGGGTGAGTGCTGTATGACTGAACCGTGGACCCAGCCTCTCACTTGTGGGTTCTGGGCAAGCTAGCTGTCTCCTCGGAGCCATGCTTGCAGGCTTTGGGATGAAGATTAAGTGACATTTGCGCTGTCAACTAAGATTGGTGGTAAGGGGAAGTGCCAAGCCCTGCAGGGAGCACCTTAGGTGCATTGACTAAGTCAGTCTCAATCCTAGGGCCTCACACATGCTAGGTAGGCCCCCTCCCACCACTAGGCTAACCCTGTAGCCCTCTCTTTTGAGACTGGGTCTCCGGGCGGTGGTGGCGCACGCCTTTAATCCCAGCACTCGGGAGGCAGAGGCAGGCGGATCTCTGTGAGTTCAAGGCTGGGCTGGACCGACAGCCTCCAAAATACAGAGAAACCCTGTCTCGTAAAACCAAGAAAAAAAAATCAAAAACTAGAGACTGGGTCTCACTAAGTTAACCAGAATGGTCTTGACCTCACTTTTGCCCAGGCTGGTCCTAGACTTCGGATTCTACAATCCAGCCTGTGACTAACAGGCCTTTGACCCCAGGCCTGGCTTTATCTGTGCTTTACTAAGGCAGAAGAATCCCAAGAGATGGCAAGTGCCCCATTGGGGAGTGAGGAGCTTTGATCTGAAGCTGTGAGTTCCCAGCCTGCAGCCCTGATTGTAAGGCGTGAGCCATGAGTGAGTCAATGCCCGTAGAGCCTCGGGAAGGAAGGGTGTGTTGGGATGCATAGCCGGAGAGTGAGTAGGAGATGGCTGCTTTGCCTAGCTGTAGGAGCCTCAGTTTCATGGTCTGTAAAATGGGGGGATGATTGTAACATCTACCAGAGGGCAGAATTAGGGTGAGACATTGGTAAGTGTGTTTTGGAGACACGCTAGGTGTGCTGTAGAATTCCACGCTATACTGTAGTGGTCTAGATTGTGGGGTGTCCTATACTTGATTCTAGCAGAAGGCAGAGAAATCATGTTCAGTCACCTAAAGGGCTTTTGTTGTTATATACTCCTGGGGGCAGTGGAGGCTTCAGTAAGTGTTGGGGAAGGACAGGGGTGGAGGAGGAGGGAGCTCTGGCTAGTTCATATTCACCCAGGGTCGGGGAGGCCAACTCAGTGGGGTGGACGTCGGGCTATGTGTCACAGTGCGTGCCATTCCCATGAGAGCTCAGTTAGGCTAGAGATGGGTCAAGTATGAGGTCGTTGGGGACAGACAGCCCAGGGTGGGCTGGGACAGTGATTTGTCCTTGGTGATTGATGGTGGGCTGTGGTGGTTTGGACGGTCCTTTGGTGAGCCCAGTGTGGAGGAGGGTTGTCTTTGCTGCGCTGGGTTGAAGACTGAAATTTTGGAGCACAGTTTGGGAGGAGGAGCTGGGGCAGTGGTGTAGGCCTGGGAAAGAAGTTGGGATTCCGTTTATGAAAGACGATGAGGAGAGGGCTGGAGGCTCGGAGATTGTGAGGGTGACCTCAGTGTCCTGCAGCCGCGGAGGGAGTGGGTCACTGGGGTGCTCCCGGTGTGCGTGTGTGGAATTGAAATGTGGTGGCAAGGTTGGAGCCTCCATGCTGGGAGGCTGGGAGGCTGGGAGGCTGGGAGGCTGGGAGGATGGAGGATGGGAGGATGGAGTATGGGAGGATGGGAGGATGGGAGGATGGGAGGATGGAGGATGGGAGGCTGGGAGGATGGAGGATGGGAGGCTGGGAGGATGGGAGGATGGAAGATGGGAGGATGGGAGGATGGGAGGGTGGGAGGCTGGTTAGAAGGTGAGTTGAAGGGGAGCCAGGAGAGACTCGGGCAGGCTGGAAGTCAGCCACCAGGATGAACTGTGGGTCCCTTAGCAAGGATGGAGTGAGCAGGGAGAGGCTGTCCAAGGGAAGAGAGGTGGGGAAATGGGCGTGGGGGTGGGGCGGGGTGTTGGGCACAGTCTGGGTGGAATCCATGTGGAGTAAGGGGGAGATGGAACACGGGGCAAGGGGTGTGTGCGTGGGCTACCTTGAACATGTGGGCAGACTTGAAACAGAGTAAATGGGGGGAGGGACATGACAATTCAGATTCAGATAGAAAGTGCAGGGGGCGGGGTCCTCGGAGAGCAGGGGCGGGGTCCTCGGAGAAGGGAGGTGCAGGTACGTTTGCAGAGGGGGCAGCACAGGGGAAAGGAAGTGGAGGTCTGCTCAGGCGAGGGCGTTCTGAGACAGGCAGAGGAGTAGTGTGGCGTTCATTGGGTTCGTGCCTGGGAATAGCTAAGGGGCCGTTTCTGAGCCTCCAAGGGACAAAGAGGGGGCGAGGGCAGGGGCGCATTGGGGGAGAGTAGATTTTAGGCCTGTTATTCAGAGGCCGAATGTCTGGGACCTCGGTGGAGGGTGGGAGTGGGCTCGGGATGCTGGGCAGGGGTGTGGGGCACTGGTGGTGCAGGGTGGAGGCCTGGAGATTGGCAGTGGGGATGAGGAAGGCGTGCCTTGAACACAGCTTCCCAGGAGCTCCACCTCCAGTGCCCGAGTAACCGTGCTGTGCTGACCTTGACTGGTCTGCAGAGCTGAGGGGTGGGGTCTGTGGGTGGGGCCTGTGGGTGGGGCCTGGACCACTGGCACTGAGATTAGTTAATACTCCAGGCTTCAGAACTAGAAAGCCGAAGCATAATTGGTAGGGTCTTGTAGATTTTATGGAGCCCCCCCCCCCAAACGTTCCAGAAACCTGAATTCCAAGCCAGCATGGGCTGCGTGTGTACTCCCAAAACCTCTGTTCCCAAACCAAACCAAACTAAACTAAAGCACAGCCAAAGTGCAAACCACCACCACCACCGAAAGCCCCAATTGGGAGCTCTGCGGTGTTGTTACACGTTGTTTTGGGGTCTCGTTATGCAGCTTAGGCTGGCCTCGAACTGTTGGTTATATTTCTTACCTCCTTCTGAGTGCCGGGATAGCTGGTGTGCACCACCATGGCGAGCTGGGAGTCAGTTCCTGGATCCACCGCTCATCTCAGGAGAATGCCTTAATTGTTCTATGCCTCGTTCCTTGTCTGAGAGATGGGTTTAAAAATCGACACCTTCACAGAGCTGTTGGATGAAACCGGATAACAGCACGAAAAGCACAGAGAACTGTGCTGGGCGGGACAGTCCCAGCACTTGGGAGGCTGAGTGGGAGAACCGGAAGTTCTGTGCCAGCCTGGGCTAGAGACGGAGACCCAGCCTCAAAAAGACCAAGGTTGAGGGGCTGGAGAGACGGCCCGGTGGTTAGGAGCCGCTCTTCAGAGGGCCTGGGTTCAGTTCCCAGCACCCACGTAGCGGCTCACAGCTGTCGGTATCCAGTCCTTTGGACTCTGAAGACACCAGGCATGCATCTCTAGGTCTCTGTTTTACCCCCTCTTCAGGGACCCTGGCTATGGAGCAGCCGGCTGGCCTGCAGGTGGACTACGTCTTCCGGGGTGTGGAGCATGCTGTGCGGGTCGTGGTTTCGGGGCAGGTGCTGGAGCTGGAGGTGGAGGACCGGATGACGGCTGACCAGTGGCGCGGAGAGTTCGATGCCAACTGTGAGTGTGCCTGCTGGGGTGGGCTCCCCTCCCCTCCCCTCACCTCCCCTCCCTTCCCCTCCCTTCCCCTCCCCTCCGCCCAAGGTCGGCTTTTTCCCAAAGCTGAGGTTGAGCCCAGTTGTGCCTCTGCCTCTTCTGGAGCTCTCCAAGGTGGGGCAGGGGTGTGGGCCCCATTGGTCTGGCCAGAGGCAGTGGGGGAGGGGTGGCTGGAGAACTTGAGCCTGTTACCTTTGGGCTGGGTCTGATCTCCGGAGGAACCCTTCTTCCCACCCAGTCATTGAAGATTTGACTCACAAGACAGGGAACTTCAAACAGTTCAGCATCTTCTGTAACATGCTGGAGTCGGCCCTCACCCAGGTAGGCACCAACTTCAGGGGCTGCCCAGAGTGTGGGGTGTGGGGCTGTGGATGTCTACCTCGGAGCCTCTTTGGCAGATGCCAGTGGGCAGTTGCGATTCTGGTGACAGTCAGTCTCACACAGAGAACTGAGGTTGCCGGGCGGGGGTGCGGCTTCATGCTCAAAGCCCCCAGGGGGTCACCAGCACCTCGTGATCTGGGCACGCTGGTGTGTGTCTGCAGTTGCAGAACTTGAGTGGTGGAGGCTGGAGAATGAGAGGTTCAAGGTCATCCTTGTCTTAGTTAAGGTTTCTATTGCTGTGAAGAGACACCATGACCACGCCAACTCTTTTTTTTAAATTAATTTATTTTTTTACATTCCAATCCCAGTTCCCCCTCCCTCATTTCCTCCCACTCCCTCCACTCCCCCTCATCCCAACTGCTCCTGGGAGAGGGTGAGGCCTCCCCTAGGAAGTCTATTAAGTCTGTCCCTCATCTCCTTGAGGCAGGACCAAGGCTCCTCTCCACCCCCCAAACCCCTGTGTCTAGTCTGGGCAAGGTATCTCTCCATATAGCATGGGCTCCATTAAGTCAATTTGTGCATTAGAGTTAGATCTTGGACCCACTGCCAATGGACTCATACATTATCCCAGTCACACCATTGTTACCTATATTAAAGGAGTCTAGTTCAGTCTTCTGCAGGTTCCCCATTTGTCAGGCCTGTGTCAGTGATCTCTCACTAGCTCAGGTCAGCTGATTCTGTGGGTTTCCCCATCATGGTCTTGACTCCTTTGTTCATATTATCACTCCTCCCTCACTTCGATTGTGCTCCAGGAGCTTGGCCCATTGGTTAGTTGTGGATTTCTGCATCTGCTTCCATCTCTTTCTGGAAGAGGATTCAGGCTTCCTTGGAGTTGTGGATTGTAGGCTGGGTATCTTTTGCTTTATGTCTGGTATCCACTTATGAGTGAACACATACTACATTTGTCTTTCTGGATCTGGGTTACCTCACTCAGGATGTTTTTTTTCTAGTTCTGTCCTTTTGCTTGCGAATTTTAGGATGTCATTGTTTCTTACTGTTGAGTAGTAGTACTCCATTGTGTAAATATACCACATTTTCTTTATCCATTCTTCAGTTGAGGGACATCTAGGCTGTTTCCAAGATCTGGTTATTACAAATAATGTTGCTATGAACATAGTTGAACAAAAGTCCTTATGCTGTTTCCAAGATCTGGTTATTACAAATAATGTTGCTATGAACATAGTTGAGCAAAAGTCCTTGTGGTGTGACTGTGCATCCTTTGGGTATATTGCAGGGTCTTGAGGTAGGTTGATCACTAATTTTCTGAGAAATGGCCATACTGATTTCCACAGTGGCTGGACAGTTTGCATTCCCACCAGCAATGTATGCCAACTCTTATAATGAAAACATAGTTTCAGAGGTTCAGTTCATTATCTTCATGATGGGATTGTGCCGGCAGATGTGGTGTTGGAGTAGCTGAGAGTCCTGCATCTTGCAGGCAACAGGAAATGGTACCCTGAGCATGGGAAACCTCAAAGCACCCCTCTCCCCCAGTGACACACTTCCTCCAACAAGGCCACACCCACTCCAACGAGACCACACCTCCTAATAGTGCCACTCCCTGTGAGAATTGGGGGCCAATCACATCCAAACCATCACAGCTACAAAGTGAGTTTGAGATGCAAGAGACCCCATCTCAGACAAAAACCAAACCAAAACGAGTAGTGTTGAGGAGTGCTGGGGGATGGCTTGGTGGTTAGGAGCACTTGCTGTTGGAGGACCTGAGTTCGGTTCACAGCACCCACTTTAGGCGGCTCACAACTGCCTGTCACTTTATTACCAGTGGTTCCTACAGCCTCTCTCGCCTCCAAGGGCACCTGCACTCAGCACACACACCCCGACATAGACACACAGAATTAAAGGTGAAACAAATCTTAAAAAACAAATAAAAAAAGTGGATTAGAGTCACAGGGAAGTGTAAAAGAGAGGAAAAACCACTCCACTCTTAGTGTCCTTGTTAAGGTATTGGCGAAGGCTCCAGAGTTGGCCGAGCAGGTAAAAAGGTGCTTGCCTGTCCAGCCTTGTGACTCAGTTCCATGTCAGGGTCCCACCTGGTGGAAGGACAGCAGAGTACTAAAGTTGTCCTCTTACCCCCACGCGTGGCACCAGAATGCAAGTGCACACACACACACACACACACACACACACACACACACACACACACGCATGCACCCACACACGCGTGCAAACACTATTAAAGAAAATACATGATACATTTTATATTAGAAGTACTGGTGAAATCGGTCCAGCTTTTCTTCATTTCTCTCTTCCCACGAATACATGTGTTTGTTTTTGTAGTTGTATGATTACATGCTGTTCATACATTTTTAAAAAGAATTGTGAACCTTTTATTTATTTTATTTTGAGACGTTTTTTCATGTAGCCCAGGCTGCCCGGGAACCCCTTGAGCTCACTGTGTAGCCAGGGATGACCCTGAACTCCTCATCCTCTTACTTCTGGCTTTTAGTACCGGGATTACAGGCAGCATTTGGTGGCCTGGTTTATGTGGTGCTGGGGCAGAACCAGGGCTCTGTGCTGGGCCAGCAAATGAGCCCCAGCTCCAATAGTTCATAAGAACTTAGGCCACATGGGCTAGGGAGATGCCTCAGCGCTTACGAGAATTGCTACTCTTGCGGAGGACATAGGCTGGGTCCCAGCACCGACGCCAAGTGGCTTATAATAGTCTGTAACAGGCAATGGGCCTCCTGATGTGGGTGCTGGGAGTCGAACTCAGGTCCTCCAGAATAGCACACACTCTTAACCACTGAGCCATCATCTCCCCACCCCTGCTGTGCTGGCACACTAACCTGGCCAGGTGTAGCTGCCAGGTGGAACCTGCTACCTCATCAGGCAGCTCCTGTTACACACCTACCGGCCCAGCCCTGGGGTGGTAGAGGCAGGAGGATCATCTTTGGATACATAGTGAGTTTGAGGCCAGCCTGGGTTACATATGAGCCTATCCCCCCAAAGAAACTAGAAAAAATAGCCCAGCTCCAAAACACACAGGAACTCACTGATGCACTTTCCATGGAGGGGCATCTGCACGCCTCCATGGTGCTATGCCTGGCTCTCGTGGGAAGTCCCTGTCTGTGAGCTGCCCAGGCTGGCCTAGAACTCGCTGTGTGGCCGAGGATGGCCTTGACTCCTGATCCTCGTTTCGCCACTCTCCTAGTGCTGGGGTGACAGGCATGTGCCACCGTGCCACGCCACAGGCTCCATTCACTGTGGCCTCGCTGGTGTGACTGTCTGCGTGGTGGAAGGGGCACGTGTCGTTGCTCTTACAAAGATGGTTGCGGCCTCATGGCGCTGCAGGTCTCTGACAACCCCAGAAGCTCTAGGTGTGCGGTGCTGAGAACCCAGGCTCTGTCTAGTGCATTCCCCCATCGTGGTTAGTGTCATGGCCACCAGCCTCCTTGCTGGGAAGCTCAGGAGCCCTGAGACCTGGCACGGTGACTCAGAGGGTGGCTGTGAACATGCTTGCCACCGCCCCTCCTCCTCTCCCACAGAGCAGTGAGTCTGTCACCCTGGACCTGCTCACCTACACAGACCTGGAGTCCCTGCGGAGCCGCAAGCTGGGGGGCCGCCCGGGCGCCTTGGCCCCCAGGTCGGCACAGCTCAACTCCAAGCGCTACCTCATCCTCATCTATTCCGTGGAGTTTGACAGGTGGGCACAGTGGCTGGCTGAGGGCCCAGGCCGGTGGGCAGGGCGGGGAGGAGCCCCCAGTGCCAGTGGCCGAGACGCATGTACTTCACGTGCAGAATCTGTGTCGTTTTACTGTTGTGACCGGCTGTAAGTGGCAGAAGGGTCCTTGCTAGCATCAGCTGAACCCAGGGCAAGCTCTCTGCCACTGAGCTATGTCTCCAAGTGCTGTAGACATAACGGCTTGTGGCATAGCCAGACACCAAACAGATCTTTGCCTTTTTTTTTTTTTTCTTAGAATTTCTCTGTAGCTTTGGAGGCTGTCTTGGAACTCACTCTGTAGACCAGACTGGCCTCAAACTCGTAGAGATCCACCTGCCTCTGCCTCTGCCTCCTAAGTGCTGGGATTTTTTTTTTTTTGAGAGAGGCTCTCTGTCGCCCTGACTGTCTTGGAACTCACTATGTAGCTCAGGCTGGCCCTGAACTCAGAGAAATCTGCCTGTCTCTGCCTCCCGAGTGCTGGGATTAAAGGTGTGACTTTGTAGCCCAGGCTGGCTTAGAACTCAGTGTTTGGACTTGAACTAATGTCATTCCTTCAGCCTCGGCTTCTCAAGTGTTGGGATTACAAGTGTGTGTCACCTTGGCTGGCTTTTAAGTGGTTGTTTCTTTTGTAGCCTTGACTTATTTAGAACTCATAGTGTAGCCCAGACTGGCCTTGGTGGGAATCCTCCTGCCTCAGCCTTCCAAGTACTGGGATTACCAGCTTGTACCACCACACCTGGCTAAGGGACGGTCTTTCTTTGTGTGTGTTTTTTCTTATTTTTAAAATCTTTGCATGTTGAGTATGTCCTTATCTCTTCATGGTAACAGAATAGCTGTCGGACCTCTAGGCTTTGCGTCTTTATCATAGCAGGAAGAAAAGGAACAGGGCTTGATGGTTAGAAGTGCTCATGTGTTGGGAGCCGAAGCCCTGTCCTCTGGAAGAGCAGCCTGTGCTCTTGACTGCCGAGTGAGCGCTCAAGGCCCTTCCCTTTAGTCTTTAACTTTTAATTCTTCTTATTTTAGTTGTTCAAATTTATTTAACTTTTATTTTATGTGCATTGATGTCAGATTCCCCAGAACAGTTGTGAGCTGCTATGTGGGTACTGGGAATTGAACTCAGGACCTCTGGAAGAGCAACTAGTGCTCTTAACCTCTAAGCCACCTCTCCAGCCCTCACCCCTTTAAATTAAAAAAACAACAACAACTTTGTTTTATGTGTATGGGTGTTTTGTTTATAATGTCTTCAGAGACCAGATGCCTCTGGGATGCCCTGGTACTGGGATTACAGTTGTGGGTGCTGGGAATTGAACCTGGGTCCTCTGTAAGAACACCAAGTTGAGCCATCTCCAGTCATTCTTTGTCCTTCTTTATTTATTCATTTATTTTATTTTTTTCAGATAGGGTTTCTCTGTGTAGCCCTGGCTATCCTGGAACTCTCTTGTAGATCCGCCTGCCTCTACCTCCCAGGTATTGGGATTACAGGCTGGAGCCACCACACCCGGCCAGGAATGGCTCTTGAGTAGCTGGGCAGCAGGGTCCGTCTGTCCTGGTGTCTGGGGTAGCGAGTGGGAAGTTAGCAATCCTGTAGGAACTGTGTGTGGTGGGGCGGCACCTGGAGGCGTCCTGTAATGACCCCAGCTCAGGGCTGACTCAGCTCAGGCCATCTGGTGTCTCCCAGGGTAGAGTCTGGGTTGGATTGTGCTTAAAGATGGCACTTCCTGTAGAGGTCACGTGACAGTGCCTCCCCCGCAGGCAGGGGGGAGGACAGTCAGGACAGTCAGTCGAAGCTTAGAGGTGCCTGGGCAGGACTGACTGGGAGGGGAGTTTGTGAACAAAGAACCTAGAACCAGCTGCTTTCCCAGCACTTGGGAGGCAGAGGCATGTGGATCTCTGAGTTCTAGGTCAGCCTGGCCTGGGTAGAGAGTTCCAGAACAGCCAGGGCCACACAGTGATATGCTGTCTCAAAATCCCAAACAAGGAAAACCCTCAAAACAAAAATCCAAGGCTACAAGCTTTTGGGGACTGCGTGTGCTTGTGTTCTTTGGTTCACAGACCTGTACCCTCGGGTGGATCTTGGCCTCTGAGCTGCTGCGGTTCTGATCCCCTCTCTCAGGATTCACTACCCGCTGCCCCTCCCGTACCAGGGCAAGCCGGACCCTGTGGTCCTGCAGGGCATCATCCGCTCACTGAAGGAGGAGCTGAGACGCCTTCGAGGGCTGGATGGCGGCCAGGATGCTCGTGATACTCGGGAGGCAGAGATCTGGCACCTGAGGGAGCAGTGAGTCTGGGGGTGTGGTGGGTGTGGGGGTGGGTGTGGTGGACTGGGGAGGGGGTCCCAGGAGGAGGCGCGGAAGCAGGAGCACCAGCAGCAAGGAAGGGCGGGCTGCCCGGCTCTCCGCATGGGGTGCCTAGCTCAGGGGAATGGATGCTAACCAGCAACCGTGTGAGCGTGCTGGGCGGAAATGGGAGCTGTGACCACTGGCAGAGGGAACAGCACGTGAAAGTCCTCCACTGAAGGTGAGAGCGGAGAGACTGAAGCCTCTGCCTCCCGCTGTGTTCTGTCATCCATAGGCAGGGACTTGGTCTCTCCCTGGAGGCGGCCAATTCTTTGAGGAGGACTAGCGATATTAGGACACTAAATATTACTGTATGGTATGCATGTGTGTGTGTGTGCACATGTGTACACACCGTGGCATGTGTGTGGAGTCAGGTCTCTCCTTCCACATTTACATGGCTTCCAGGGGTCACCTCAGGTTGTCAGGCGTGGCGGGCATCCTTAGCCTCTGAGCCATCTCGCTGGCCCATTTTTTTCTTTCTTTTCCTTTTGAGGCTGGCCTCAAACTCTCTGTGTAGTCAAGGATGACCTTGAACTTCTGGTCCTCCTTCCTCCAGATCCTGGGTGTCCTTGGGCTTCCAGGCAGGGCCCGGGACTGAGCCCAGAGCATCATGCGTGCTAGCCAAGAAGGTTCCCGTTCATTTGTGGGTGAAGGTCTCTGTTGCGTTTGCCCATGGCAGACAGAAGCGGTTATCCTCACAGCCGCCTGTGAGACAGACATTGCTATCACCACCACGTTCCAGAAGCCCAGGGGCGCTAGGGGACTTTGCCAGGGCGCAGTGAATTGCATGGCCGGGCTAGACTGTGCATGCGGCCAGCACTTGTGCACTGTTGAAGGTGCCAGCCCAGACTGAGTGCCAAGTGCTGCTGGAGAGGAGTGGCCTTCTCTCACTCGGGGTACACTGGGTAGCAGGAGCCAAGGGCGCTGCTGGGTGGAGGCTGAGGGACTTAAGCTCCCTCCAAGCCACACCTGTGTGCAGCTCCCAGACTGGCCACAAGGTGGCGACCTCTAGCCCTCCACAGAACTGGTAAGGTGTCTAGAAATCTCTGAGCTAGGGGTGAGCCCTCCCTGTGGAGTTCTAACTCTGCCTCCCCCTCCTTCCCTTGGAGACAGGGGTTTGCTGCATAGACCAGGCTTACTTCCTCCGCCCTGAGTACACACATTTCACCACTTCCCCACAAGCAACTCCACAGGACGAAGCTGCCCCAGGGCAGTGTCCAGGCAGAGGGGAGAGGCACTCCAGCCAGTGCCAGCTCTACAGAGGCTGGTGCTGGGGGTGGGGAGGGGAGAGAGAGACAGAGAGAGAGAGACAGAGAGAGAGAGAGAGAGAGAGAGAGAGACACAGAGAGAGAGAGAGAGAGAGAGACAGAGACAGAGAGACAGAGAGACAGAGACAGAGACAGAGAGACAGAGACAGAGACAGAGACACAGAGACACAGAGACACAGAGAGAGAGACACAGAGAGAGAGACAGAGGGAGACAGAGAGTGAGAGAGGAGAGAGAAACAGAGACGAGACAGAGAGACAGAGAGAGAGGAGAGAGAGACACACACACAGAGACACACAGAGAGGAGAGAGAAACAGAGAGAGACACAGAGAGACAGAGACACACAGAGAGAGACAGAGAGACAGAGAGAACCTATTTTTAAGCTACCTTCGTGTGTTTGTCAGGTAGAAGTGTTTCACTGTTTCGCTCTTGTCTTGTTCCCCTCCTTCCCTCCTCCCGCCATCCTTGTCTGAGGCCGGGTCTCTCTGTGCAGCCCTGGCTGTTCTGGAACTCGCCCTGGAGACCAGGCTGGCTTTGAAGCCACAGAGATCCGTCTGCCTCTGCCTCCCGAGTGCTGGGATTAAAGGCGTGGCCACCACATTTTACCAGTTCTTGAGACTGTTGGCTACACTGCCGTCTTCTGAGGGGATGATCCAATTCCGTCATTCTTTCCACTTTTGTCAGCTGGGGTACAGAAGTACGCTCTCCCCGGGAGGGAGAGACACGATCAGTGCTGGGTCTTCTACGCACCTCTGGTAGAGCACTGAGCTGGTTCTCATCCTCCACAAACACCAGCAGCTTCTGCTGTCAGGGCCATTGTGAACTTGTGAATTTGAAATTAGTTGAGCTTGTGTTGGTTCCCTTTGACAGCTGTGACAAAATGCCACAGATTTGGTGGGCATAGTGGCGCACACCTTTAATCCCAGCACTTAGGAGGCAGAGCAGGCGGATCTCTGAGGCCAGCCTGGTCTATAGAGCAAGTTCCAGGACAGCCAGGGCTACACAGAGAAACCCTGTCTCAAAGACCAAACACCAGTGGAGTGGGTCATTGAGATGGCCCCCTGGTAGAGGAGCTTGCCGCCAAGCCTGACCAGAGCTCAGTCTCTGGGACCACACGGTAGAAGGGGAGGACCAATTTCCACTAGTCGCCCTCTGACCTCCACATGAATGCTATGCATTCCTTTGTGTCTGTGTGCATAGACTCAAATAAAGAAATGCAATGAAAGTTAAAACAGAAGCCAAAGGAAAACCACCGAACTGTATTCTGTCTCCCTCTGGAGGCCTGCGTCTGAGAGGAGCACCTGGTAGCGGCAGCTGCTCTCTGGCTTGTGTCCTGGTACTCTGGTCTGGGCTCTGTGGACACCCTCCCCTCCCCTCCCCTCCCCTCTCTTCCCCTCGCCTCCCCTCCCCTCCCCTCTCTTCCCCTCCCCTCCCCTCCCCTCTCTTCCCCTCCCCTCCCCTCTCTTCCCCTCCCCTCCCCTCCCCTGCCCTCCCCTTCCCTGCCCTCTCCTCCCCTCCCTTCCCCTCCCCCCTTCTGTGTCTCTCTCCTCTCAGGCCTGCCCTGAAGATTCAGGAGAATCATTTTACCTCACTACCCATATCAGATCTGTAAAAGTCCCTTGTTTTGCTGAATAGTAGAGTATTCACACGTACCAGGAGAAGGCTTTGGATATCTTTGGGCATGTAGGGGCCAGCGTTCAACTCACCACAGATGTGATCTAATCCATTCATTGCACCAGATTTTTGTTTGCATGTTAGTGTTGTCTTTGGCCATGTGGAATTGTTCATTTTGGGTTCTATATCCTTTTGGAAGGACCTCAGTAATCTTTTCTGTTTTGCCTTTTATGTGCAGATGTAGAACCCAGAGCTTGTACATGCTAGACAGCTGTTCTACCAATGAGTTCCCCCTTCACTGGGGAACTCTAGGCAGTTGCTTTACCATGGAGCCACGCCCCCATCCCCTCACTGGGAGATTCTAGGCAGGGGCTCTACCACTGAGCCACACCCCAGCCCCTCACTTGGGGATTCTAGGCTGGGGCTCTACAACTATTTCCCCAAGATGTTTCATTTCTTCTATCAGGAGCTAATGTTAGCATGAGCTGCTCATTACAAGTGTTCACTGTCATTGGGCTGATGTTGCACTTAGCATTTTTTTTTTCTTAGTGGAAAGAGCCAGAAGACAGGAACCTTTTTAGAAAGAGAATATACTGTCTGTTCTTACTTTCTCCTTGATTTTACACCCTGTTGAAAAATCGTAGTTTCCAAGCTTAGTAACAGTTATTACTATTGTTTTTAATCCCAGATAATACCAATTCAGTGACTAATGAGACTTCTGAGTAAAGGTAGATTTCTTTGCAGCCTCTTTTGGCCTGAAACTCTGTATCCCACTTGCTAACCCTGTGTTCTAGTCACATATAATCCTGCAGTGTTACTCCACCTTTGGCACAAGCTTATGTTTCTTGGAGCCTGCTGGCCACCCCCTTCCCCTGACTCTGGTGACAGTTCCCGAGGCAGGAGGATCACTTGAACTCAGAAATTCAAGCTCAGCCTGGGCAATATAGCCAGAGTCTGTCTCTACACAAAGTGTTTTCATAGTTCCAGAGTCAAAGCTGCGGAGAGGTCCAGTTTCCCCATCTGGTCCCTCTTCTCTGTTCCTCCATTCCCATAGGCAATCAATCCCTCCTTCTGAAAGTTTTTCATGTAGCCCGTTTTTAAGAATATAAACACGCATAGATAAGTTGTAACTCCTCATTTCTTTTTTTTTTTAAGGGACTAGGTAAATATATTCTGCACTGTTTAAATTAGTGAAATCCAGCCCCCAATCCTTTTCATGACAGCTCTCCTCTGTACGAGCCACGGTAACTCAATTAGTTCTGCCCGTGGACGCTTAGTTCCCTTCGCTTTTTGCTATTTATAAACGGGAAGGAAAAGCCTTGCGTATGTTTTCTTAGGGGTCGGTTAGCAGAGTAGCAAGTAGTCGTTTTTGGCTGGGGAAGAGTTCGGGCTGGGAAAGGCTTGGAGGTGGGAGCAAGGGCCGGAGGGCTAGGCTTGCAGCAGGCATTTTGCGCCTTGTCCCCATACTGACCTCTTCACTAGGACAGATGTGCCTGGTTGAGGGACGGGTGGAAGTGAAGTGGCCTCAGCATCCTTCCTGCCTCGGAGGGGAGGGCACAGGACCAGACCCCTCCTCGGGGACTGCATTCCTCCTTCCAGGACAGGGGGGGCCCTCGGGGACTGCTTCCCGTGGAGCAGTTGGGAGGGGCTCACGGTGCTCGGGTCCTTTCCCCCTTCTCAGGGTGACCCGCCTGGCGTCGGAGAAGCGCGAGCTGGAGGTGCAGCTGGGTCGCTCCCGAGAGGAGGCGATGGCCGGGCGGGCGGCTCGCCAGGAGGCGGAGGCGCTGCGCGGGCTGGTGCGGGGCCTGGAGATGGAGCTGCGGCAGGAGCGGGGCCTCGGGGGCAGGGCTGCGGGTCGTCGCAGCCAGGACTGCCGCCGCCTGGCCAAGGAGGTGAGGGTGCGGAGCCGGGGCGGGTGCGGAGCCGGGGCGGGTGCGGAGCCGGGGCGGGGAGGGTGCGGAGCCGGGGAGGGTGCGGAGCCGGGGAGGGTGCGGAGCCGGGGAGGGGCCGCCGCCCTGGACCTCGGTCGGGTCTGGACTTCGGCGCCCTCCGCTTCCCTCCGCAGCTCGAGGAGATGAAGGCGTCGGAGCGCAACCTGCGAGCGCGGCTGAAGACGCTGAACAGCGAGCTGGCCGTGTACCGAAGGGGGTGAGAGGCGGGGCCGGGGGGGGGCTTGTGGGGGAGGAGCTCAGAAACGGGGCGGGGCCAGGTCAGGTAACTGAGGAGTGGGCGGGGCTTGTGGAGAATCGGGCCGGGCCGGGAGGTGGGTTTGGGTGTGGGGTGGAGTCTCAGGGTCAATTGATCCCCGCGGGAGCGGTCAGGGAGCCGTCTGCGGTCCTCGATCGGCGAGGGAGCGGTAGGAGAGGGAAGACCTCGGAAGGAGGCTCCCGCGAAGGTGTTGGGATGCAGGGAGGCGGCAGGCAGTCCGGGAAAAGGGCTTGGAGGGTGTCGTGAGCCCGGGTGGCAATGCTTGGGGAGGTGGTGGGCAGGAGGCGGGGCGGGCTGGCGGGTGGGAAGCTGACCGCAGACCCGGTGCTCCCAGGAGACGCACCCTGCCGCCGCCGGCTCCAGCCCGGGAGGATCGAGCTTCGTCGTCCCGGGAGCGCTCCACGTCTCGCGGCCGCGCGGCCACTCGATCCTCGTCGCGGGAGAGCGGCCGTGGGGCCAGGGGTCGCGGGCGGCCGGCGCGCCCCCCTCGCCCTCGCCCACAGGTCTGTGGCTGCCCCGGCCTCGGTGGGGAGGCGGACGGGGCCAGCGCCGACAGAAGCCTCCTTCCCCCGCTGTCTAGGTGGCCGGGCGCCCCGTTTTGACCCCACAGCCTTTGTGAAAGCCAAGGAGAAGAAGCAGAGGGAGATTAGGATGAAGTAAGTCTGCCTGCTTGCACCGATGGATCCTCGGGGCTCGGCCCTTACTCGTTTCCCGTCCCACCTTAACTCCTCGGGCTCCCACGTCTGTCCCCGCTTCGCCCCATCCTCCAGTCCCGGCACTGCTCTAGGCTCGAGGGTCTCCGGCCCCCTCCCCTGGCCCCTCCTCCCCTCCCCTGCTCCCCCTGCACACTCAACCCCCTCTGGCGGCCCCGCCGCCCTCTCCTGACCCGGTTCTGCTCTCCGGAGCCCTCCGGCGCGCAGCTCGTTTCCCCCCACGTGGCCTCTGGTGGCCCCGGGCTGCGGCTGTAGCTGGTTCCCTTCCCGGCTTTAGCCCCAAGTCCCCGCTTTTCCAGGCAGCAGCAGCAGCGGAACCGAATGGGCAGTGGAGGAAGCGGGGACGGCCCGTCCGTCTCGTGGTCTCACCAGACTCGGCCCGCTACTGCTGTGACAGGCCGAGGGGACGCCGCCAACCGCTCGCGGAACCGCAGCTCCTCGGGTAACGGGCTGGGAGAGGCGGCGTCGCTGCTGGTGCCAGGCGGGCCCGGTGGCCCGCGGGGCCTGACGCCCTCTGTCTCCCCCTAGTGGACAGCTTCCGCAGCCGCTGCTCGTCCGTCAGCTCCTGCAGCGAGTTGGATTTCTCCGAGTCGGCTTCCAGGAGGTAAAACTTGTGCTCTGGGGAAGGACCCTCAGGAAAGGGCGCCCCGGGGAGGGGGGGGGAACAGTGTTTTACACGGGAATCAGGTGACGGGGGCTGGAGGTCTTAAAACCGCGCAGGTGGGGCAGGAGGGAGGTACCACAGATGGCCTGTGGTCCTTGACTGTCTTGTTTCCTCAGTCGTCGCTGCCGTGGCCGTGGGAAACCACCCAGCCCCACACCCTGGAGCGGGTCCAAGACGGTGAGGGTCATTCCCAGGCTGGGCGAAGGGAAGGGCAGGGTTAAATCCCAGGTGACCACCCATGACTCCGTTGTCCTGCGGAAGCCAGATTGTAGAGGGAACTCTAGAAAGACTCCAGAGGCAGGGTGTTTGGGGCCCTGAGACCGCCGAGAAGAGCTTTAGTGACCACAGTGTGTCGTTGTAGGATTCGGACCTAGGATGTGGGTTAGCTAGTAGGATGCCCGTCTGGCACAAGGTCCCGGGTGACGTATGTGTGGTGGCGCTGGCAGGCCTGTGAACCCAGCACTCAGGAGATGGAGGCAGAAGGATCCAAAGTTTAAAGCTAGCCTCAGTTACAGAGTGAGCTTGAGGCTAGCCTGGGCTATGTGAGATCTTGTGTCCAAAAGAAAAAAGGGGAAAAGAAGATCCTTTCCTCAGACGGTGCCAGCCTCTCCTCCCAGTGTGTCTGAGGGCGCTTGGTGAGCCTCTGCCCCTCAGGCTTCGCCAGCTCAGCCCTGGGAGGGCTCTTGTGTCAGAAGGGGGCTCTTGGCTCTGTGGTGACCTGTAGATGCTTGGACTCAGGACCCCCAAGGGCCTTGGGGGACAGGAAGAGAAGGGGTTGCCTGACCCCTTTCCTGCCTCTCTGGTCCACAGAAGTCTAGCACTCGAGAACGCACCAATCACCAGAGACACCTGGCCAGTTCTGGGGGCTGGGTCCCCATCAAAGGTGAGCCAGGGACCCCATATTTGCCCCTCCTTTTCCCTCCAGCATCCCAGAACCCCCTGGGGGGGTAACAAGGGCGGTTCGTTGACTCCTTGCTGCTTTAGGCCTGTCATGGTCTGGTGTCCATCCAAGTGTCCCCTCCCCACCCCCAACACCAACCTCTGCTTCCACAGAGTACGGCTCTGAGTACCAAGGCACTGACATGGCTGAAATAGATGCCCGCCTGAAGGCTTTGCAAGAGTACATGAACAGGCTCGACACTCGGTCATGACCCCGGAGAGATGGCGCCCTCATTTCCCATCCTGCCGTCAGTGGGTCTGGGGTGGCGGCCACACCCCTCCCATGCTCCACACCTCCAGGTGCTCCTGGAGTCTCAGCCGTGTGAGGCCCTGACCCCCCCTCTCTCCCAGTAATGCATTGTAGGAGAAGAGGGTATGTGTATTTTGTAAATAAACATGGTTGTTCGTGGCCCCTTAGTTTATGAAGCAGGGTTAGGGATGGCGTGGGAAGACGGGAGGATGACCTGATAATGGGACCTGAAAGTGTGTCTGGGCTGCTGGCTGTCACCTGGAGGCAGGTGGGCACTAGTGAGCTGCATGTGTTTGGCCAGACTGCAGGGGAGTGGCGTCTTGCAGCGTGGTCCACATTGGTTCTTTTGAGGGAGTGACACAGGGCCTGCTTGGAACTGATTCCTGGCTTCTCACTGAGATGACGAAGGGGTCGTGTGGCTGGTTACACAGGAGCATGCTTGGTGCTGTCTCTTTATTGGTGGGGGTCACTGGGAGGACAGACGGGGGGGGGGGGGGTGGCTGGAGCAGGTGACAGGAGGGATTTCAGGGTGACTACAGGGGTCTCACTCGCGGTAATTTGCCCAGCGTTGGATGACTTCGTAGAGCTGGTCCCCTGGGGAGAGTGTGTTCTGCACATCCCTGTGTCCTTTGACTTCATAGTTGGATCTCAGGTAGCCCCGAGCCACCCCGCATTCCAGAAGATTCAAGGCGGCACGGAGGGCCCGCTTTGGGGGTACCCGCTCTGCAAGGGGAGGGGCGAGATACAGAAAGTTAGACCGGGGCATCTTCGAAGGGTAGAGAGGTGAGGGATGTTGTTTAACTGCCCTCTGCCTCGGTTTCCTCATTCATGGAAAGGAAATCGGGCACCTACCTGTAAGGCTGTGGGAGTTAAATAGTTAACTTTCAATAAACCTCGAAAGAGAGCCTAACACAGAGGGAGCCCCCACTGCCTGTTGCGTTGTTGCTTGACCCTGGCCGTCTCTGCTCCAGGCCCACACAAATAGCTGTCATCTATGAAACACGTCTCAGGAATTAACTGGTTGACTGGAGAAGGTCCCTATCCCAGGCTGGCCTGGAGCTCCCTGGACGATGGAGGATTCAGTCTCCTCGGTGCTGATGAAGCAGAGGATGCTGGGACTTGGAATCCCAGCCCCTGCCTGCCACCTGGGAAGCCAGCTCACAGCCTGCCTCAGAGGAGCCAGGATCAAGATGGGGACATGGGGACCCAGGGCCAGGCTCGGTCAGCCTAGCATCCCGGCAAGGTGCCGGCCTTGGTGAAGGGTTGTCTTATAGAAGAGTGGGGGCGTTTCTGCGTGTGTGTGTGTGTGTGTGTGTGTGTGTGTGTGTGTGTGTGTGTGAGAGAGAGAGAGAGAGAGAGAGAGACAGAGAGAGACAGAGAGAGAGACAGAGAGAGAGACAGAGAGAGAGACAGAGAGAGAGAGAGAGACAGAGAGACAGAGAGAGAGAGAGAGAGAGAGAGAGAGAGAGAGACAGAGAGAGAGACAGAGAGAGAGAGAGAGACAGAGAGAGAGAGAGACAGAGAGACTGTCTCCTCGGCAGGGACAAGAGTTCTTTCACTGCCGGGAGACACCAGATCCACCAGCAGCAGGGTAGAGGTGAGCGCTGGCTGACTCCTGCGTCCCCTTCACAGTCTGGCGCCCTGTCCACATCCTCAGCACCGGCCCGGGGGCGGGGGGGGAGAAGGGTCAGCTTGAACTGATTTTGCCCCAGCGCTGGGCTTAAGGTCTGCACCCATGTGGTCTGTGTGATGCTCGAGGTTTGAGCCCCGGCCTTGAGCGAGCTAGACAGGTCCTCTCCCAACCCAGCCACAGCTGCAGCCCTGTTTCATTTTCTTCGGGATCTCTCTGTGTGGTCCAGGCTTTTGTTCCTACCCGAGGAGTGCCGGCATTATAGCTGCGTACTCCTACGCTTGCCTGCCCCCGCCCTTAATTTAGTACTGATCAGCTACGCCCAGCATAGGGTCCCAGTGGCCCCATTATCCGAAGGGAAAAACCGAGGTCGTTAGCATATAGATGGCAGAACCCGCGACTCCCCTTCTCCCGACACCATCCCCAGCCCAGGACGCTGGGCTCTTACCCATGTAGTTGCCCATGAAGGTGATGCTGATAGATATGGGGTTCCAGGTGGGCCCTGTATGGTCACCCTTGATGTTCCAGCCTCGGCCCTCGTACACATGGCCGTCCTCTCCAATCAGGAAGCTGTGGAGAAGGGGCGGGGCTTGATACGGGGGGAGGGGCTCCCTTTGACACCCTTCCCTCATTTTCTGCAACAGGAAGGCAACCTCACCCATTTATTGCACAAAGTCACAGCCTCAGAAGCCCTGCCCCTCAGAGTCTGCCCTTGGGGTAGTGACATGGCTCATCGGGTACAGGCCCTCCCTTTGCCAAGCGTGGCAACTCAGTTCTCTCGCTGCGGCCCCCTGATCTCCACACCGAGTCATGCCGCGGGCCTGCCCCAGACAAGTAACTAAGTGTAAGAGAGTTTTCAAAGAAGCCTGTTCTTGGTTCAGCCTGCCTCGGCTCTTGGGGTCCTCAGGCACCAGGTTCGAGGGCTCAAGGGAGGTTTCTGATCTTAGCACAGTAGATCTGTGAATGTCACTCACTGACCGAGTCTCAGTGGAGGCCCCCCCCTCTCCCCGGGGTACCTGCTAGGTCAGCAGTCTGGAGTTGGGCAATGGAGGATTCAGCCTCCTCGGTGCTGATGAAGCAGAGGATGCTGGAACTTGGAATCCCAGCCCCTGCCTGCCACCTGGGAAGCCAGCTCACAGCCGGCCTCAGAGGAGCCAGGATCAAGATGGGGACGTGGGGACCCAGGGCTAGGCTCGGTCAGCCTAGCATCCCGGCAAGGTGCTGGCCTTGGTGAAGGGTTGTCTTATAGAAGAGTGGGGGCGTTTCTGTGTGTGTGTGTGTGTGTGTGTGTGTGTGTGTGTGTGTGTGTGTGTGTGTGTCAGAGCCTGTCTCCTCAGCAGGGACAAAAGCTCTTTCACTTCCGGGAGACACCAGATCCACCAGCAGCAAGGGTGAAGGTTAGCTGTTGACCGGTTCCTGTATTTCCTTCACAGTGTGGTGCCCTGTCCACGAACACAGCACCGGCCTGGGGTGGAGGCGCTGTGGTTTTACAGGGATGCCTGTAAACCTCAGCCACCATCATGATGGGAACGGTCAAGAGCAGGCTCAGTGGTTAAGGGGGCTTTCTGCTCTTGCAGAAGACCGGGGTTTGATTCCCAGGACCCACATGGTGGCTTACAACCGGTAACCTAACTTCCAGTGCCCTCTTCTGACCTGTGAGGGCTCTTGCACACACATGATACACAGACTGATACGCAAGTGTGTGTGTGTGTGTGTGTGTGTGTGTGCGCGCGCGTGCGTGTACACACACATGCATGAGAGCAATCATCGGCCCATCAATAGTTCGTCCCCCTGCCCGGGTTAGAACTCAGGTTGTCAGGCTTGCTGAGTCATCCAAAAGTCCTTTTCCTGCGGATTCTATTTCTCCCAGAACCCATCTTTTTCTGTCTGTATATACACAGGGATGCAGTGGTATGTTCTGGAACTCTGGCCGGTGGAAGACATTTGCCCATCGATTTGGGGCACATGTTAGCCAGTTTCCCCAGCGTTTGGTCTTAGGGGCCACAATCCCATTGGCCTTGGCAGAAACGGAAGCTGAGCCCAGGGTAACAGTTTCCCTGTGGCGCCCCCTGCCTTGGGCATATGTGCCCGCTGATGCCAGGACTTGGTGCAGGGCTCGGTCAGCCTGGCGTTTTCCTGGCAAGGGCTGAACCTTTAGGAAAGTATTTCCTTATGAGAGTATGGGGGGGCACCTTGGTGTGTGTGACGCAAAGCCTGTCCCCCCCCCACATGCACGCACACACGCACGCACCGAGGAAAGTCGCAGTAGCACCCAAGGGAGGCACGGGATCCAGCACCAGGAGGGCTGGAGCAGTGCGGTTGACGCCCCCCCCACTGTATACTCACTTGTAGCCTACGTCGCACCAGCCCAGTGAGCTCATATGGTAGTGCTGCACATTGCGGGCCTGCTGTTCGCAGGAGGCCGGGCTGTCGCAGGTGCTGCCTGCCGTGTGCGAGATCACCACGTAGCGGATCGGGTGCTGCAGGCGCTGGGAGCACTCGGAGGGCCGGGCCTTCCACTCGCTGCGGGGCACGACAGAATTGCAGGAGGCTCCCAGGCCCAGGAGGGCGAGGAATGTCCAGACAGGCAACATGCTGGACGTGGAGGGCATGGCTCACAGGGCCGTGTGCGAGTCAGACTCTGGCCCTGCGCACTTTTATCTTCTGGGGCAGGGTGGTGGCGTGCCGGGCTTGCTTCACATCTGGGCGGGACTTTCCCGACTCGTCCTGGAGGACCCCAGACTCAGCTTCCTCTTTTGACGAGGGTGGGACAGCCATGCGGCCTTTGCTCAGTGTGTGGGGAGAAAGAAGCTCCCTCAGCGGGAAGGGCACAGAAGCTTTGGGCATGCATCTTTGTGGTTTTCTGGAATTTCCAAAGCTTGGATCTCGGCCCAGCCTTGTGTCTTCTCAGGGAAGGCTTTGTGTAACCTTCCAGGAAGTGTTGCATAGGTGAGAGGCCGGGGCTTTGGCACAGACTTCCTTCCTGCAGGTGGAGCATAACAGCAGTACCTTTTCAAAAATACGTGTATTATGCATTTATAGTTGCCGGAGTCCCGTGTAACTTGAACTCGATGTTTAGCCAAAGATGACCTTGAGCTGAAGTGAGGGGTGTTCTCGGCACTGTGTCTGGCTGCAGAGCCCCTTGGTCCAAGTCTGAAGATGCTCAGCCCTACAGGGCAGGAGGCTGATACGTGGGAGCCCCTTCCACAGCTGAGGAGAATGGGCTCAGCGGACGCTGCTGCCTCAGAAGCAAACGGACGCCTCTTGTCCGGAGTCAGCATCAGAGCCAAGCTGCCTGTGCTGAACGCCAGCCATTTTCTACTGTGTGAGTCCACGCCAGCGACTCAACCTCTCTGTGCCCATCTCTCCAGATCCAGTACGGAAATGGTAGCAAGGTTTCTGACCCCCAGAGTTGATCAGGAATTGTATGAATGGACCGGGTTTTGGTCCCTGGAAGTCTGGCACATGGTGTCACATGAGTGTCACCACTACTCCCTCAGGGTAGCTCCTGTGTGTGGCGAGGTTTGCATGGGTGACCCTAGCGGTTCCATTCTGGAGAGAAGGGGCTCTGGATTCAGAGGGTCACAGTCGCTTTATTCGGGTCACACGGAGAGCTTTCCTGGGGCCTCTGTCCTGCCCAGGGTCCCTGATGCCACACCTCTCCACCACACATGGGGAGATCAGGGCAGACCGCCTCCCTTCCTGTCCTCCCTGATGCCACTTTTAATGATTTTGGGTAGTTCTCCCATGGAGTCTCTCATCCTCCAGGGCTCTCTCTTACTTTCCTTCAATAAATACGTGTTTTCTCTGCTCAAAAGTAAATAAATAATTAATACTTTTTGCCATGGTACAGATGGAACTCAGGACCTGTGCACGTCACCACACACACACTCCAGCCCCTCACTGGGGGATTCTAGGCAGGGGCTCTACCACTGAGCCACATCCCCAGCCCCTCACTGGGGGATTCTAGGCAGGGGCTCTATCACTGAGCCACACCCCAGCCTCTCACTGGGGCATTCTAGGCAGGGGCTCTACCACTGAGCCACATCCCCAGCCCCTCACTGGGGGATTCTAGGCAGGGGCTCTACCACTGAGTCACACCCCCAGCCCCTCACTGGGGGATTCTAGGCAGGGGCTCTACCACTGAGTCACACACCCAGCCCCTCACTGGGGAATTCTAGGCAGGGGCTCTACCACTGAGTCACACCCCCAGCCCCTCACTGGGGGATTCTAGGCAGGGGCTCTACCACTGAGCCACATCCCCAGCCCCTCACTGGGGGATTCTAGGCAGGGGCTCTACCACTGAGCCACACCCCCAGCCCCTCACTGGGGGATTCTAGGCAGTGTCTACCACTGAGCAACGCCCCAAGTTCTGCTTTGTAATCTTAAAGCTAAGTTTCCAAGCTCCCAGTTTCTCGAGGTTCTTCTCTTTAGCACTTCTATAGGGTCCCCGTGGGAGCAGAGTGGGCCATGGATGCTGAGCATGTTCAGGTGTAGCAAGAAGGTAAGGGTTTTGGGGGTGATTGGACACAGCTGGCAAAATGGAAGCACAGGCTGCCAGGAATGGTGAGGCATTCGGGGTTCACTGTAGGGGTCTGAGAAGTGACTAAAGAACATTATCAGTGTTGAGGGTGACTCTTAGAACAGGTCTGGTCAGATCTGAGGCTTGGTCTTCCAGGGCCAGAGTCCACGCTGGGAGGCTGCGGGGTGGGGGGGAGAGAGAGAGAGAGAGAGAGAGAGAGAGAGAGAGAGAGAGAGAGAGAGAGAGAGAGAGAGAGAGAGAGAGAGAGAGAGAGAGAGAGAGAGAGAGAGAGAGAGAGGAGAGAAGAGAGAGGGGAGAGAGAGAGAGAGAACAGTGCATGTGGAAGGAGAAAGTGAGGCGGAGGGAATAGAAATAATAGAATGGTTCAGTGAGTAAGATAATGTTTAGAGCGGCTGGAGAGATGGCTCAGTGGTTAGGAGCACTGACTGCTCTTCCAGAGGTCCCGAGTCTGTCCCAGCGCCTATGTGGGCATAAGTGGGGAGGGGACGAGAGTGACAGGCAGACGGTGCTTCCATCGCTGTGGCGGGGACTCGGGAGAGAGTGGGCTTCTGTTGGACTCGCTGGTGCAGTATGACTACTGAGAGCCATGTGGGCGGGGGACGCACGGAGCCTGGACTCAGGGGAGGGAAAGACGAGAGACAGGTGGGCCTGTGGGAACCTGCTTGGTGGAGCTGTGTGTTGGCACACGGGCCCGTTTCAGGGGCGGGCAGAAGGGAAGCTAACCGGCGCCTGAAAGGCCCTTCCGTTAGCCAGGACCCCGGCGGTCTCCGAGAAACACCTCGAGCCCAGCAACCGAGAGAATCTGAGCCAAGACTCCCTGGGACCCGGAGACAATGTGGTACCAGGCCCACAGCGCGGGCGTCATGAGAGATTGTCCCACATGCATGGGGACAGAGGACTCGGCTCCAAGTGTGTTTGTGAGGAGGGTTTATGGCTGCTGTTCTTTGAGATAGAATATTACTGGGTAGTGCCAGATGACATGGTCATAAACTTACTGCATAAACCATAGTGACCATGAACTCACAGAGACCCACTTGACCCTGAACTCCTGATCTTTGAGACAGAGAGACAGAGAGAGACAGAGAGACAGAGAGAGACAGAGAGAGAGAGACAGAGAGACAGAGACAGAGAGAGACAGAGAGAGAGACAGAGACAGAGAGAGGAGAGAGAGAGAGAGAGAGAGAGAGAGAAAGCAGAAGGAAATGCAGAACAGTGTTTAGTGACAGAAGGTAAGGGAAGTAAACATTTCGAGAAGGAACTGGTCATCTGTGTCATAAAAGCTCCAGTCCCAAGGTCACCCTGGTAAGAAGTAAAAAGAGCACAAGGTTAAAACCAGAGCAAACGGTGTTATAAATGATGCCTAGGCCAAGGGCTGGTCATTCAGAAACAGCTGAACCCGGCTCACTCCATACGCAGCTGATAATGTGTGAAGAGGTCTAAAAGTCAAACACAAAATTAACGAGCCCACCCTACACAGTCCACAGTAGACATCTGAAAACCATTTAATTAACACTATGTTTCCTTGGGAGACAGGGTCTCATTATATAGCCCTGGCTAGCCTGGGACTGGCTATGTAGACCAGGCTGCTTTCAAAATAACTAATTAATCAAGTAATTAAAACCTTTTGTTTTTCTGAAACAGGATGTCTCTATATAGCCCTGGCTGTCCTAGAACTCGATCTGTAGACCAGGCTGACCTTGAACTCACAGAGATCCGCCTGCCTCTGCCTCCCGAGTGCTGGGATTAAAGGCCCATGCACTACACCTGACAATTAAAAAAATATTTTTGATTGTGTGGCTGGGCATTGGTGGTGCACACCTCTAATCCCAGCACTCAGGAGGCAGAGGCAGGAGGATCTCTGAATTCAAGGCCAGCCTGGTCTACAGAGTGAGTTCCAGGACAGCCTCCAAAGCTACAGAGAAACCCTGTCTGGAAAAACAAAACAAAACAAAAAACCCAAAACAACTCCCCTAAAAGAATGCTATGTATTTAGTATGGGCTTTGTTACCTGACATGCCTCTTCCTTAGTGCCTTTATATGTGCTCCAAAGGCGGGGCATGGCAGCGCACACCTGCATTCCCAGGTCCTGGTGGTGCACAGGTATGTGAGGCTGAGTGTGAAGGATCATGAGTTCGAGGATAACCTGGGAAAAATAGGAAGACCGGCCTCAAACGGGAAAGGAGAGAGGGTTGGCGTTCAGTCCTCGTGCTTGCCCAGCAGCCCTCTTACAAGCTGTGCTGCTTCTCTAGCCCCCATCTTCTCCTTCTTTCCTTCCCTCATTCCTCTGTAATTCTTCCTTATCCTGCCTCTGGGGTGTGGTACAGGCCCTGCCTAGAATCCCCCAGTGAAGGGCTGGGGTGTGGCTCAATGGTAGAGCCCCTGCCTAGAATCCCCCAGTGAGGAGCTAGGGTGTGGCTCAGTGGTAGAGGCCCTGCCTAGAATCCCCCAGTGAGGGGCTGGGGTGTGGCTCAGTGGTAGAGCCCCTGCCTAGAATTCCCCAGTGAGGGGCTGGGGTGTGGCTCAATGGTAGAGCCCCTGCCTAGAATCCCCCAGTGAGGAGCTAGGGTGTGGCTCAGTGGTAGAGCCCCTGCCTAGAATCCCCCAGTGAGGGGCTGGGGTGTGGCTCAGTGGTAGAGCCCCTGCCTATCATGTCCAAGGCCCTGGGTGTCATGCCAGCAGTGCTAGCCTTTGGCAAAAACTACGAGAACATTAGATACAGAAGCATGTAAACCAGATGGTGTAGTGCATGCCTACAATCACAAATCCAGGGGAGGTTCACAAGTTCAAAATCATCTCTGGCTGTGTAGGGAGTCTGAGGCTAGTCTGGGCTGTAAGAGACTCTGTCTCCAACAAAAACACACAGTGAATTTCTTCCGCCATAAACCACAGCTCTCTGTCAGGAGTTGGCACAGGAGGAGAGGAGGGGAGAAGCTTTGGCATCAGGACTTGCCCAACATCTGGGGAACTTACGTGACAATCAGTAAGTTTTCCTTCCTCTATTGAGAGAAGGAACTCGCTCCCTGCCCCACCCCAAGCCACACAGGTCGTTCCCAGGGTGTTTCTATCCATCACCCTTAATAACTCAGGCAACCTCTGTTGAAAAGACTTTTTTTTAAATGATGCCCCATGTTGCAAGGATGAAAGTCCTGGTCGGGGTGAAGCGTTCTTGGATGTGATAAAGATTCTGCCCATTTGGGAGATGGTTCAATAGTTAAGAGCATTTGTTCTTGCAGAGGACCCAGGTTTGGTTCCC